CAAATTGGATGCTTTATTTATGAGCCCTATTTTATTTAATCTTAACTTCTTTGCAACCCAGCCTCCAATCTTTCCTTTATTTGCATCTAATGTCTTCGAAAACCTTCCTCCACTCATTTTATTTACTGTGTCATAAGCTCCAAGTGCTTTTGCTCCAAATGCTAATGCTTTTGTTCCCATTGCGCCTAAAGCTGCCCAAGCTACCATTTACACCATATTAAAATCATCTCTCTTCAATATTATCTCATAAAAGTTCTCGTTACTGGAGAAAGTCAATGAAACATAAACATTCTCACGGGCTTCGCCCTCACCGCTTTGCGATCTATCTAACTTATTTCTTATATCATCTATACGCTTCAAAATGTCTGAACAATTGCTAACATCTTCTACAACAGTTATTTCATCATGAATGACCTTCAAGAACAAGCTCATTTAATATGCAATTAAAATCATTTCAATAATGAGTCCATCCTTTCCATCTTTAGGTACACAACATCTTTCATTGAAGAAGGTTCGACAAGTCTTATGTTAAACTTACTGACAAAGTTTGTTATACTATAATGCTTCGGTGGCGAATACATATAGTTTGAAAACATAATATAGATTCTTCAGCAAATTCACTTATACTGGATTTTATAACAATGTTCTCACGAGACCAAATACCACCAATTGACAATCTTGTAAGCAATCCTGCTGAACCTTCTACTGTAAACGTCGATGGTAACATTCCACGAAGGTCATCCATTGACATCGTTGAGTCACTGAATTTAAATATTTTCTTAAAGCAATCGTCATTATCTAACCATGCAATAGCTTTGAAGTTTTCATTCGAATATACATCTGCATCATTAAATGTAAAACCTGACTTCTTTGCAGAGATGACTTTAAAATCTATTGAGTTTGTTTCAAAATTATATGCTATGGTAACTTCTGAAGGTAATGGATGTCCTTCCGCAGTCAGTTGTTCTCTCACTACCGTTTGAAGCTTTGTGTTAAAAACTTTCATGTCATCTCCTGTGTCTAGGTTCACATACACAGCAACAGGAAAACTATCTTGCTTCTTTGTTTCATCATTATACCTCAAAACATTAAAGTTCTTCAATAATATTGTTCTTCCTGCTGGAATACTTCGAACCTGTCTGATTTCAATAGCTTTCTCACCTCCTACATACTCTACCCAATGTCTTGGATATTCATAAGTATACTGACTTTCTTGAATTTTGGTTGGTTTCATCATAACATGTTCATAGTATATCTTTATACTCTTGTCAGTTAGACTCGGTGCTATGTTCTGAATATTTCTGACTTGCATTTTTAATGGAGATAAAATGAAGCATTTAATACATGACGTAGATGAAGACATGAATGAAACTACAGACAAACTTAACTCTTCTCTTATTCTTCCTTTCAGTAAGGACTATGAGTTCTGTTCAAATGGTGTTTATTTCTATTGTGGAAAGATGGGTTCAGGTAAGACATTTAACCTCATTCGTCATATACTCATAACAGAGCGTTTAGGAAACGACTCATATTATGACCAAATCATTATATCAGCAACTTCAGACTCTATGGATCAACAGCGAAAACATTTATGTCAAAAGTTCAAGCCTCTGTCGTTAAAGTTCCAGACAGTGAACTCATTGAATTTCTTCAACGTTACATTCGACGTAAGAGGAAATATTATGCCATCGTTGAATTTATACAGTCAGGAATGCAAAAGACTTCAGAAGAGATGGAAAGAATTATTGACAAACACCACTTACGTCAATACTCAGGAGTTTACGATATGAAACGACTTACAAACTACATTCTATCAAAACTTTCAAAATACCCCTTCAAAAAATATCCTTCAAACACTCTGCTCGTTTGTGACGACTTCGCCGGAAAAGGTTTAGTGTCAAAACCAGACTCACCATTAGCTAACATCATTACTAAAGTCAGACATTACCACTTAACTGTAGCAATACTTATGCAAACATGGAGGTTTTTAGCTTTAAACATAAAACGTCTCATAACTGACTTCGTTATCTTTCAAGGTTTCTCACGCTATGATATTGAACTCATTTGGAAACAGTCAGGTATAACATTACCTTTTGAAGAAATTTGGGAAGCATATAAGTCTCTCATCTCTCCTCGTTCATACCTTGAGATTCATATCATGACTAATACCATTAAAGTCAAAAATATTCCATGGGAACGACCAACATTGTTTTAAAGTTTAACCTTCAATTGACTGATGGTAAACAAATTCCATGCATCTCTGTCGCCATTTCTGTTAATATTTTTGCTGTCATTCATATCATCCACTTCCCCATCCGTTAGCTTTTGAGGATATGCGTTAGAATAGCTGTTCTTAAATGAAGGCTTTTCACCTTTGAGAGCATAAACTCTATAACTTTCTGCATACTTTATGTTTGAACCTCCTGAGCCATCATTGACATAAATTTTTATAGGCTTCCACCCTTTGTTCATGTTCCTGCTTCTTCCCTTAGCTCTTTTGTTCAGTAGTTCTACATCTTTATACACAGCTCCTGTCTCAGTGAATTCAACAATATTTTCATTCGTTAGCTTTACATTCAAACCCTTGTCGAGTATATTGTTCATTTCATACATATAAAAGGTTTTTATTCTATATGAAATGAGAAGCAAATCCATCTTAGCTGGTGCCGTTAATGTTCCAATTGAACCAACATCAAATGTTGACTCACGAACGACAAACAATATTGTCATAAAGAACTATAGTTCGAGTGTTTGAAAGAAAAAGAACCAGAACTTAAGTCCGTGTGAATTTAAACTCAGCTTCAAACGCTAACGCTACATCAGATGTTAAGTTAGAGTATCCACCACTGGACCAAATTCTTTCAAGAGAAGCCAACGACAACCCTTACACAAATGTTCAAACAAATCCTTCAGATAACGTAGACCATTACCTTCTTCAGTTATACCAAACAATTTTACTCAAAGACGATAAGAAGCTTTTGATAAATCTTATAAGCAAGAACCAAATAATTCTAACAAAGGAGGACCTTGAAAATGTTATATCACGAATAACAGGGAAACAATGTGTCATTGACTATCTCGACCCTGAAATCGAATGCTGTGGTCAAACGCCACCATTCATGAAAATAGGTAACATCCGCATCATTGAAACACCAGGAACTACAGGAGTTGAGTTTAAGTATAAATATTCGAACGAGTATACAAAACTATCTACTGACTATAAGCTTTGTTTGAAATATGTTTTAGTAAATTAAAGCAGTCAGGACCCTCGGTCTTGGCGCTTTGCGCCGTCAGTCAAAAAATTCAAGTTAGCAATTTGTAATATCTGTCCAAAACTTCTTCAACAGTATCGAACTCATCTTCATAATGCAAACCTAATCTTATTGACTTGGTGCAGTTTTCACTAACACAATATTTTTCTGTTCTCTTGACTGACATAACTAACTCATTTGTTTCATCAAACAGCAACAACCAAAGTTCATGACCTAATACATAACATTCATACTTTATATTTTTAGCTCTGAGTTCTCTTGTAAGCTGTTGCATTTAATATTTTCTAAAAAGTCAACTTCAACAGTCATTCGCACTGGTGCCTTCAGTTCTACAGGCTCGCCTTGAAAGTCAACTAGTCTGAATTGCATGTCTTTCAAATTATGAGGACTAATGCGAACCCATTTACCTAAATGAGTTGCTATGACAGGAACGTTTGGAATGAACATTGAATTTACTTCATAACAGAAAGATTTATACTCTACTGAACCTTTACTATTAACTCCTGAAATGCCTGTGACATTAGCTATTTTAGACTCAATGTATAAACAATTGCCATAACATACGTATGGAACAGATTTCATCTCAATCGTTTTGTCAACACTTTTCAAAGGTAGTTGCATATGGTATGCTCCTAAAAGAAGTTGAACTCTATGACTCATTCGTGTTATCTTGAACTCTTTCTTGCTACTGAACTTCAATGTTCCCTCAGAAGAGAGTTCGACATCTATGTTGTCAATAGTTTCTTCATTTATGAGAGTATCTATGACTCCAGCAATTTTATCTATTCTATACTCTGCTCTGTTAGGAAATGTTATAAAACTTCTTTTGTCATCTATTTCAATCTCTATGAAACCTGTTTCATCTGTTATGACAAAAGTTGCGATAGTATTGAAGTCAACAACTCTGAAAGCAAGTGCTTCATTCTGAAGACCTAAGTTTGTTTGAAGCTTTACTGTTCCATATTCGTTTGGGTCTGTACTTTGCAAATAGAACAACATTTTATTCTCATTAAAATATGACTATTGCTGCATATGCGTATGAAACAAATGAAGCAAGAAGAGCACATGAACTAGTAAACGAAAACTCAACTTTAACCATTGAAGGCAATGATTTAGTCATTGACGATGGAAAAACTAAAAAAGTCATTGATTTCGATACTTTTAACACTTATGACCCATTCATTACAATAAGTAAAGTTCCTATCATAAATGATGGAACGGTGCAATATATAAATTCTACAGTAGATGCCTCATTAGTGAAAGTATTAAATGTTCTCATTGAATTGTTAAAGAGCTTTCGATTTGACGACAACATTAAATGCCTAAAGAATTTAGTCATGAATGAGAAACAAATTCTCGGCGTTGCTGGTAGCAGTAATGATGTACACCTTATGACATTAGAATATTATAACGAACATAAAGATGAACTGAAAGGAGAGAAGGGTGACACTGGACCTCAAGGACCACAAGGAATACAAGGAATTCAAGGAATCAAGGACCTCAAGGCGAAAACGGTTTGGATGGAAAGGATGGAAAGGATGGAAAAACTGCTAAATCATGATATGGAACCTTATAAATACTGGTTTAACAGCTGCTTCATATGGAGTTCTTCAATACCAAATCGGAAAGATATGGGCAGTACTTGGTGAAGAAGTTTTAGATGACGTTAAAAATGCTTTGAACTTCATTTCAAATGGTTCGGATACTATTAAAACTTTATCTGGTTGGATGCAAGAAACAAGGAGTCAAATAGATACTGTAAGACGTATAGCAAACAATGCACGTACGGGATTGGATACTTTACGAGAAGCACAAAATACACTAAAGGAAGCAAATGATATTCTTGGCTCAGTATCAGACATGCATGAAGATTGGCTTAAAGGTATTGACAAATCTTTAAAAAATCACAGTCAGTCTATTGCTGACTACAAGAAAAGTATAGATTTTTTACATAGTGCTATGGACGTACATGATGGAAGCATAAGGAACTTACTTAATGCTAACAATAACTTACCAGGAACTATTAAAGCATTTATAAAGTCCTTTGTAAAACCTGGTGCTCTAACATTTAGGTCTTTGAGAGCAAGAGCATTGAAGTCAAGAGATGCAGAAACTCCAACAGAACCTACAGAAGGAACTGAAACAACAGAAACTCCAGAAGAACCACCAAAACCAACAGCTAATGAAATATTGTTCGAATATTTTCCAAGGTACTCTGTTCTCATTGCATACATTCAAGAAATACTTAAGAAAGCAGACTTGACTTTAGGAGATGATGAAAGTTCTGTATATCTTTCGTTCCAGTTTCAAATAGCAGAACTTTTGAGACAGATATGCTTAATGTATGACAACATCTCTGATTTCACAAGATATGATGACGACCATGACCCCGAACACGGTGAAGAAGAAGTTTTACAAACATCCATTAAGACAGGAAAGGTTTTAACTCAAAGTCTCATTATTGACACCAAAGATGGCGAAGTGGACGTTCTTCAAGAGCTGAAGAAAAATACTTCTGAAGGAGGTGGTGGTAGGCATGAACTTGAAATAAATGAGATAGAAGAGAAATTAGCCGAAAAAGCAGATAAAAACCATGTTCATTATATAAGTTCAGATGAACAGATTATAACGGACTACCATGGATATTTAACACAGGATGAACAAATAAGCACTGAAGATGTTAATGAAAGAAGATATAAATTCATTCGTGCTAAAGGTTATGACATACACTGTACTGTACAGTATGACACGGGTAAAGCACCAGAAGCATTTGGTTATAACGATGAAATTTATGCCTCTACTTTCTCTGTTAAAGGTGTATTAGTTGAACCAAGATTTACTTTGAGAGTTAAGGCAAAAATAACTTTTGAAGATGCTATTAAAAGTAAAGCTGACAAAGTTGAACTTGACGCAACGAACAAAGTTTTGAAATCTCATAAACACAATATCTCCGATATAAATGAACTTCAAACTTCTTTAGACAACAAAGCAGACAAAAACCATACACATGAATCCTTCACTACTGTTAGAGCTGATGACATAATACTGAACTTTGACCTTGGTTCAAGTGCACCTTTAGAGAATCCAAGTACAAGCGTAAAAGATACTCTTAACAATTTAGATAACAGTTGCAGGAAAATCGAAGATCATGCCAGAAACTTTGAAGCATATGAACTACCAACAATGTTAGATAAGAAAGCCGACAAGAACCATACACATGAAGAATTTCAAACAATCAGGATTAAAGAAATTAAGGCATGCATTGAAGAAGTAACAAAAACAGGAAGAAACGGTGCAACTGTACATGAACAAAGAATTTATCCTCCTACTTTTCCTAATGGTTTAATAACAAACAATATAAATATTGTAGATGGCAAAAAATTTATAAATGTTAAACATGAACTTCTAACAATGAAGACTGAAATACTTCAAACATTATATCCTGTTGGTTCTATTTATACGTCAATGAATTCAACAAATCCAGCAAGTGTTTTAGGTTTTGGTACATGGCAGCAGATTGTAGACAAATTCTTATACTGTGCTAACTCTTCAAAGCAAACAGGAGGTTCGAAGAAAATTACTGAAGCAAACTTACCCGCGCACACTCATACAGGAACTACAAACACAACAGGTAGTCATTCACATTCAATAACAAAAAGAGGTTATACAAATCTTGCAGCAGGTTCGGATAGACATGGAATGCATAGATATGATATTTCAAGTGACCCAGTAGATTCAAGCGCAGGTATTTTCTGTGGAACCGCAGGAAATCATGTCCATACTTTCACAACAAATCCAACAGGCTCGGGTGCAGATTATATGCCACCATTTGTGACTATATTCGCATGGTACCGCGTTCAATGAACGCGCTTGAGCCTAGAATAAAATCTTTAACTTTACATAAATGAGCTTGAAAGAAGTATTCGAACAACATCCATGGAGGTCATTTAAGAAGTTCAATGAAGCTGCAAAGAGTTGGGGATTTACTAACAGAGCTGAAGTGAAAAGGTTCTTTGACAAAAATGTTGTACATCAAACAAAAATAAACCCTTACGACTACTTTTTACCAATTTACTCCAACACTCCTGACGCATACCAATTTGACACTCTCATTCAAAGCAGAAAAGGAGGACATAAACCATTCCTCATCTTCATTAATGTTAACACTCGCAAAGCATATGCATATCCAATGAGGAATAAAGGAACTCGTGAAGTGTTAAGAGTTTTACAAAAGTTTGTAGCAGAACATAGCCCAAGTACTTTAACATCAGACCAAGACAGTGCATACCTCAGCAATGAAATCACAGATTTTCTCATTAAGCATAACATAACTCACTACACTACTGAAGACCATAACCATAACATACTCAGCATCATAAACCGCTTCATAAGAACGCTCAGAGATTTAAACCAAGAGCGAGACTTTACCGAAGAAACAATGAACCATTTTCTCGAAGTATATAATTCCTCAACGCATTCTACAACAGGCCATACACCAAATTCAATGACACAACAACAAGAAGAAAAGTATATACAAAAGAAACGAAGCCAAACACAAAATATCAGAAATTCAACACAATTTACCCTCATTCCTGGTACAAAAGTTCGTGTAGTTCTTGACGACAAACCGTTGACAAAGAAACGTTTAAGGTTAAGTAGAAACTATTATATCGTAGACTCTACGCAAGGTAATGGATATCTTATAAAAGCTGCCGACGACTCCATTGCATTTTATCCTCGTCATAAATTAGTCGAAAGTAGTAATGGCAAACTTGCTGAAACCATTGACGAAGCAAAGCGAGGAGTGGTTATTGAAATACTTGGCTATAACATAAACGATGACACTTATAAAGTAAGATATGAAGGAGGCGTTGAAGATGTTATACCATCTAAGAACTTGAGAGAGTCAAAGCCAACACATCTGGGACCATTAGAGCGGGAGTACTGGAAAGACAAAAATATGCCAGAAAGAATAAGAAAATTCTTCTAAACTTTTTCATTAGATGTAAATCAGACAAAAATAATGTTTAGGTGAAGAGGTGAGATTTCACCTCTTTTTTCACATGTTTTTTCACCCTCGTGAATTTTCATGAATTTCCTTAAGATAGAAAAAATAAAGTTAGTTTTATTTTTATTTATTTTTTTATTTTGTATGTAAGAACAGAAATGTCAGTCGAAGCAAAAACATTCACGAACAAATCTAATGGCGAAACATTCACAAAAGGCACTTATAACGGTATTGAAGTCTTACGTAGAGACAAGGATGGTTACATTAATGCAACAAAGATGTGTCAACAGTTTAGGAAAGACTTTAGAAAGTTGTTGGAAAATAAGTCCTGGGAAGAGTATTATAAGGCATTTTGTGAAGAATATAGCAACCGCCGGAATTCCGACGGTTGCTTTTTATACAAAATTCATGCAGGAATTCCTGATGAAATCAAACAGGTTAGAGGAACGTATGCAGACCCAAGACTTATAAACTATATAGCAATGTGGGCTTCTCCAAAATATTGCATAGCAGTTGGAAAAATTATGGACTCCATAGACAAGAAAGTTCATGAGAAATTAGATGAAGAAGAACTTGAAGATACAGTAGAGAATACTAAACATTTGTTTGAAGAAGAAGTTAGAAAAATGTGCGAAAAACAATTAGAACATGAACGTGAGATATGTTATGGTTATAGAGATTCTTCATACGAACTAGACCAATGGGAACAAGAAGATTTAAAGAGAGAATTTAGAGAATATGAACTCGCTAAGATAGCATTTGAAGCTGCAGAAAAGAAGTTAAAAGTTTGGGGTCGTTTTGTACAAAAATATTGTGAGTAAATGAACGAAGTGAAGATTTGCACTTCGTCAAATGTGAGTAAATGAACTCATTATTTTTGCTGAATTCAGCACAAAATGAACGAAGTGAAGATTTGCACTTCGTCAAATGTGAGTAAATGAACTCATTATTTTTGCTGAATTCAGCACAAAATGAACGAAGTGAAGATTTGCACTTCGTCAAATGTGAGTAAATGAACTCATTATTTTTGCTGAATTCAGCACAAAATGAACGAAGTGAAGATTTGCACTTCGTCAAATGTGAGTAAATGAACTCATTATTTTTGCTGAATTCAGCACAAAATGAACGAAGTGAAGATTTGCACTTCGTCAAATGTGAGTAAATGAACTCATTATTTTTGCTGAATTCGTAAGATTCTGAGTAAAATGACATATGGCACGTGTCAAACCGTTGAGTTTTCACAAAATTCCAAAAATAACGTTTACCATGTAAAACGGTTATAAATAATGAGGGTAGAATTAGTGGTAGAAATTAGGTTAGATATATCCATCTACCCTAAAAATTATTTTTGCTGAATTCAGCACAAAATTCTGAGTAAAATGACATATGGCACGTGTCAAACCGTTGAGTTTTCACAAATTTTAAAAATTGCTGCGGAAAGTTCGTCAAAAAAGTGAAGGTTCCCGACGGTTTCAAACCGCCATACTTTACATGAAGATAGTTTACAATGTCAACTAAATATCATGTACGATAGAAACGGTTATGTAAAGTTTACATTTTGTAAAGTTTTGTCCTGATTCAAGACAAGTCTTGTATTTTTTCAGAACAAGTCTTGTATTTTTTCAAGACAAATCTTGTCCTGATTCAGAACAAGACTTGCACTTTTTAGTCTGTTTTTCTTGTAAAGTTCTCAAATTTGAGAACAATTGTCCTGATTCAAGACAAGTCTTGTATTTTTTCAGAACAAGTCTTGTATTTTTTCAAGACAAATCTTGTCCTGATTTGTTGTAAACAGAAATTCATCAAAAGTGACACCTCAGAAAAGCTAAAATATTGAATTTTTGGAACTTTTGATAGAGCACGTTTTTAAATATTAATTAAAGTAAATGTATATTTTGTAAAGATTCTTTTTAATAAAAAAATAAAATTTTGAAGAAGAACACAAAATCTTCTGAAAAATAATATCACATAAACTCATATTATTTTCTAATATATAACTATTTTATATAAAAATCAAATTCAATGATCTTAAAAGCGAATGATAAACCTCAAAATTTACGAATATAATGAGTGGGAATATAATGCTTATCTATCATAAAACCATATGAAATATCAATTTTTGCTTTACGCCTAATTTTTGACGACAATTAGCAAAAAATGTTAAATGTTAACACTCAGTCCATTTGAATATGAAAAATAAAATTGACTTTGATTAAATGTTTTTATTTATCATGCAATTCTTCTTGCGACCAAGGATTTGAATAAAAGTTCAAAAAATAAGATAGCTTAAAAAATAATATACGGTAGTGTTTACTAATAGATGAATAGTATATAAATTCTATTAAAATGGATTTGATCCAAAAAAATATAAAACCAAAATAATTGTTATAATTTAAATGAAGAAGTAATTTAAAACGATTTTATTTATGATCAAATTTTATATATTTTTTTGGATCAAATCCATTTTAATAGAATTTATATACTATTCATCTATTAGTAAACACTACCGTATATTATTTTTTAAGCTATCTTATTTTTTGAACTTTTATTC